GGACCTTAGGACGAGCCACAAGGCCCAACATCAAAGTCCAACTCGCCATTTCTCTTCAGAGAAGCCCTGAATGAGACCTGAAAGACCTTAGGACCTATAAATACATTGTTTAGCAGTCCTAAACGGGTGTGTGCTCCTGTAATAAGATTTTGAGCCATCGGACTTTGTTTTTCTAGGGTTAGGCGATGGAGATGGGGATTTTTCCCCAGATCCATTGTTCTTTATCCTTTTTATCTTATTAACTTTTCTGTTTCATTCTTTTGCATTCTTCTATGTCTTTCATCATTCATTGCATCATGTAGATTAGTCCCAGAAAGTCAAGTTGTTTAAAGATATCGACATGTATATATATCTATTAGGATTTCTATTGTTTCTAGCCATATTCTGGATCTCATCTCTTCTAAGTTATTCGTAAAGCATGAGAGTAGATTCATGACCTATTCTCTGAGCCTAGGATCGATCAGAGCCACGAGAGTGCTGTATCAGATCATCTGTACCTAGCTTTAGAAGAACATAGTCGCTATAGGAGTCGAGAGCTACCTATAGAGAAGATGTGAGCAGACGAATTCAATGGTCAATGCATGATCTTAAGTTTAGCATGAGAGCGAGAGTTAATTGATAAATCTAAGAGATTAGTTGATTAAGGTGACGACAGTTGGTTAATCATACATATGTCTATTCTAGTTCAATGCAGATTCCCAAAAACAGATGAAGATAAATCGTCTGGAAGCTAATTGGAAATGCCATCATACATCGATTATAGTAACCCAGAGAAATCTAAATCGCCACCTATGAGTTTAAGAGTCTTTAGTTTGAGTCGATATGCTTTAGATGTTCTTTTTACAATTCATCCTGCATTGCATTTCTTGTGAATATTAGATTAGGTTTAGTTTAGGATCTTAACCAAAAATCACAAACTTTTATTGGTTTATGAGTTTGCTTACTTCCCAGTTTGTTGTTTCTTGCAGATTAGACATCCTCCCTGTGGAACGACACCCTAAGTCCTACAACGTACATCTGTGCACTTGCAGACACTAAGGTTTTATAAATTTAAAACTTAAGGAGGACCAACGGGCTTGTTAAAAAACAACCCTAGGCCCGCAAGCCCATCATGTATCGACCATATCTGGAGATCTAACCGTTGGATTGCTTTGATTCTACTTCCTTTGGAAATCGGGTTGTCTCCTCCTTTTTGTGTCCAAATTTGGGGATGATCAGACGGTGGGAAGGTCTCTATTTGTTTCTAAACTTTCGACGGTCTGAATTTATCTAAAAGTTGTGCTTTTTGCTTCCAAGTACACTTCTTTTGTCAAAATATCCTGAAAACTCTTTTGAAACTCTAAAACATAGAAATCACTTAAAAATCTTTAAAACTGAGTGAAAACACCTGCATAAGACATTAAAAGTGATCCATAAAAGTGGTCAAAATCAGGTATTATCAATGTCCACATATTACCTAAAACCAAAAAATGTTGTCCCAGTTGTGGTAACGTTACCTTAAACAATCCAACAATAATATCAAAAAAAAAGGTATCAAAGAAACCTAAGTGTCAAACTTTTTTAAAACAAAAAAAAAATTAAATCTTAAACCTTCACTCACATATTCTAGTTTTCTTTACGCTTTTTCCCTTTCGATTCTGTTTAAGGGGACGACACATGCTTCGATGCTTGGCGCGACCTCTTAGTTTGTGGTTCCACTGGTTTAGGCGGATTCCTCCTAGCTGCAGCCTTGGTCCTTTATCAGGTTGGTAAGCCGCTGCCACTGTTTCCTCATATGTTTGCATTCCAAAATCATTTGGGAAGGGTGTCCACTTAAATGGTGCTTGTGATGAGGAGCCTGGTTCTGAGGAGGCCGGTGCTCGAGGCGATGAGCCTTGAGCTGGTGCTGGAGGTGAGGAGCCTTGGGCTGGTGCTGGAGGTAAGGACCTTCAGGCTGGTGGTGTTGGAGGTGAGGATACTGACTCTGGTATAAGTGAGCATGTTGGTTCTGTCTCGGAGACTCCCTGTTGTGGTGAAAGTACCATCTCTTCAAGAGTTTTCACTCTTGTATCAATATGTTTAAGCTTCTCTAGAATCTCCTTAAAATTCTTCTCCATCGACGCCTGCAGCTCCACTGATGTAGGCTCAGCTTATCTTGGTTCCTCCAAGGGAATTGAACCCGAGAAGTAATGTCTAACTCATACAGATCTCTCCAACAGATCTTCTTCTTCTTCTTGGTTAAGTGACGCATCCAACTCTCAACAAATATATCACTGAATCCGATCTCGCCCTTAGAGAAAGGCCCTGACCCTGCCGACCTACCATCATTTAAACCAGGAACCAAGATCCGCGCCAATAGAGCTTCTTCATCCGAGTCAGCCTCCAAAATGCTACAAATCTCCTGTCAATATCAATTAATACAACTTACTACTCACAAATATAAACCAAACTTAATATCAAACACATAACAATATGCAAAAAACACTGACCTCAGCACTAGTGCCAATTGCTTCATTGATGTCATCCAAAGGAATATCTCTCATGTAGACATCAGTGAACTTGTGCTTGCAAATCCTTAGACAGTCAGGCTCAGCAGGTACAGCTTCACAAAATTTCATTCCCAGACTTGGAATACACTTAAACGCAAGAATCTACACATAAGTAAATTATATCAACTTTTAATTCATAAATTTATACTTTCAAACAATTAACTAAGACTTACTTGTAAAGGAAGAATAAAACCAGAGAATGTACATTTATCTCCTTTAGCTTTTATGCTGCCATTGAACTTTGTTACCACATGCCGGATCTCCTTCATAGTCTCGTCAAATGTGTAACGCCCCTAAGGAAACGTTTTATAGAGCTTCAGATGTCCCACCACTCTAAGCAAGAATGGATCATTGTTTCCGTCAGCCTTTGACTTCGCCTTCAATACCTTGCATAAAAACAATAGTAGTGCCATCTTCTTCATGTCCAAAGAGGTATCCTTACATCTCCTCTAGCTTTGCTTCCACCTGTGCAATCTTGATTTTATCATCCCTTCCAAAGTACTTCTTCACAAACTTCAAACTACCCAAGTTCATATAGTCAATAGGGTAGTCATGGCAGTCAAGACCACTTAGCAGTGTATGCTCTCTCAAAGAGTATCGAATTGGCACTCCATTTACCACAAACCACTGCTCGTTTTGCTTCTCAATATAGGCTGTGTGAAGAAGAAGCATACACATACCTTTATTCATGTGGTTTGGCTCTTGGGAATCTTATACATACCTCTTGCATTTCTTCCTCCTCTTCTTGCATTTCTTCTTCCTCTAACATTTCTTCCTCTTGATTTTCTTCCTCTTGGTTTTTTTTTCCTCTTGATTTTCTTCCTCTTGGTTTTCTTTTTCTTGCGCTTCATCCTCCTCCTCTTGCACTTCTTTCTCTTGCGCTTCATCCTCAGGTGCAGGATCCTATCGCACTTCGTCCTCTTCTGCTTCATCCTCCTCTTCCACTTATTTCTCTTCCGCGTCTTTCTCTTGCACTTCTTCCTCTTTGTTTTCCTTCTCTTAGGCTTCATCCTCTCACGCTTCTTCCCCATCACCATCATTTGCCGTCAGAGGAATTGATTACGTGGGTGTGGATGCTGCCACTTCGGGGATGGGATTGGTCACTTCGGTGTTCTCAATTTCAGCAGAATTTTCTGGGTTTTTGATTTCAGGGTTTTCGATTTCCGCCGGATTTCCTACTTCCGCTGGATTTTCTGGGTTTTCTTTTCGTTTTCTGCCAGATTTTGGACTTCTGCTGCTGCTCCGACTTGAGTAGACTCATACACCTTCTTGAATTTCTTCTTCCTCTAGCATTTCTTCCTCTTGGTTTTTTTTTCCTCTTGATTTTCTTCTTCTTGGTTTTCTTCCTCTTGGTTTTCTTTTTCTTGCGCTTCATCCTCCTCCTCTTGCACTCTTTTCTCTTGCGCTTCATCCTCAGGCGCAGGATCCTCTCACACTTCGTCCTCTTCTGCTTCATCCTCCTTTTCCACTTATTTCTCTTCAGCGTCTTTCTGTTGCACTTCTTCCTTTTCGTTTTCCTTCTCTTGTGCTTTATCCTCTCGCGCTTCTTCCCCGTCACCATCATTTGCCGTCAGAGGAATTGATTATGTGGGTGTGGACGCCGCCACTTCGGGGATGGGATTGGTCACTTCGGCATTCTCAATTTCAGCAGGATTTTCTGGGTTTTTGATTTCTAGGTTTTCATTTTCTGCCGGGTTTCCTACTTCCACTGGATTTTCTGGGTTTTCTTTTTCGTTTTCCGCCGGGTTTTGGACTTCTGCTGCTGCTCCGACTTGAGTAGACTCATACACCTTCCCATATTTTCTCACCTTTGCTATATATCGGATTCGCAATTTTTGGAATGAATATTAGGGCTTCTCGGATTCGCGATTCCAGATCGGGATTTAGTCGCTCGCCGAAAAGAAAAAAAAAAAGATTCAGGCTAAAATGGGAGAAAACATTTTCAAAGGAAGAAAGGGGAAGTTGAGAACGAGAGTTCGAATATTCGCGATTCTGGAAAGTCGGAAGAAGAAGAGTTCGAATAAAAGGGAAAACATGAAAAATAAACTGAAAAGAAAACATTTTTCGTTATTTTTTTTAAATTAAAAAAACTCAATAAATTCGAGTAGGTCGAGTTATCAGATTAACATAAAAATGGATGGGTCTAATCCTGATATTGTTGTAAATAAATCGAACTGTAATTGGTATGATTTTCCAGGATTTTCAATTTTAAAAGAAATCAAAACTAAAATAATTATTAGATTATGGCAATTCAGCCTTTTTTGCTCGATTGTTTGGGTGTCCACATCAGTCTTATATTTTGAGCTTTCATTTTTTGATCAACTTTTAGAGAGAAACAAACTGATACCCTTCCTTTCTCTATGAAGCTAAATCGAAATTCAATATAAGACCAAAGTATTTTACTGTATAGTCACACCATCGACCATTAATATTTTTTTTTTCTTTTTTTTGGCAAACGGACCAATAATATTTAAGAAGAAATTCTCACCAACAGAACAAAACAAGAAAAGCTGAAGAATATGGAAACCAAATCATACTTTACGTGAATTTTAGCCACCATTAATTCCCTAACAAGCCTTTCATTTTGCTGGATTGATAATTAAAAAAGAAAGAGAAAAGAAAAACAGGACACAAATCTTGAGTTTAGAATGACATTAGATGGTCTTTAAGATCTAAGGACCACGTTTCCTTCGGAAGCAAAGGCAACCCTCCTGCTGGTCTACAGGGATCATCCCACCTCCTTTGCTCGTATCAATACTCTCCAACATCGGTACAACCTCGTCCATCTCCGGTCTCTTGTCCGGGTTTGCGTCCCAACACCGCTTCATCACAGCTGCAAGAGCGCTCGGGCAACACCTCGGTATGTCGGGTCTCAGGTTCTGCATTGATCATAACAACATATTGCATACATATATGTGCTTATAGTTCATGGTGTAAACAATTGCATACCTGGCGGACAACGGCTGAAGTGACCTCAGAGAAAGTAAGGTCAGGATATGGCATGTCACAGCAATATATCTCCCATAAGCAGATACCAAAACTGTACACATCGCATTTCCGATTATACGGGTTTCCATTGAGAACCTGCAGCCAAAAGATAATATGTATAAACATTGAGTCTGTTTACAAACTTTATGATGCTTATATATAGTACCTCAGGAGCCATGTAGCCAAGTGTGCCAGTCTCTCCTGTCATGTCATTAGGGTTAGATGCTTCAACTCTCGCAACTCCAAAATCCGCGATTTTGACAGTCCGCGTTTTGTCTAATAACATGTTCTCTGTCTTTACATCACGGTGAACAATCTTCTGCGAATGAAGGTAACTCAACCTGAAAAAGCAACACAATCTCACACAAATACTTTTTCTTCACTTAACAAAATGAAAAGAACGGGAACGATGATAAATACCCTCTAGCTAGGTCAAGAGCGAGCTGAACGACAACTTTAAATGCTAACTTCCTTCTTCTGTTCTTGATCAAGAAGGACTTTAAAGCACCACCTTGAAGATATTCAACAACAACACAACATATGTTGTTTGGCATTGCTAATGGACCACTCTCTGTTTGTAGCTGTAATCCTGATGCACCCATTGTAGCTCCTATGAACTGCAAATTTTCAATGATATCCTCAATATCTAACAATGGTTAGAAAAAGGGTATCTGCATAAGTAAAATATAAACCTTAGTAACATTAGGATGATCCAGTTTATGCCAAACAGCAACCTCCTGAGCAAAATCTGCCCTCAACGACACTATCTCAGCTTCTGATCTATGACCTTCTTCACCCCAATCAAGCAGCTTCACTGCTCAGTATCACCACAATGATTAACCACATTCAATTACAGTAAAAAGGTTCTTTTTTACTGCATTTATGGAATCTACTAGCTAATTATTCTCTTATATCTCCTTTTTTAAAATAAAATTAAAATTTTGATAAAGAGATTGAGACAACAACAGCTGGAATCACATGAAAGAGATCCACAAAGCAAGAATCATAATTATCCAAGTAGGCCTTTCAAGTAGCTGAAAAACTTATGATGGCAAAACCCGTGTCGGCATCACGGAGATCACAAGAATTGCTTCTACTCACCAAAGAAAAAACTAAATTAAACTTCCAACAATTAAGCAAACTTAATCTAAATCCCAAAGTTTTTTCTTTTACGAGTAGGTGAATCTGACAAGTTTAGAACTTTCTGCTTTAAGTTAAAAGCTGTAAGAAAACAAAACCAGAAACAGCAACAGATTTCGTCTCATTGTTGTAATTTGAGTAATCTGATTTTAACTGTAAGAATCTAGGAATCGAAGAATCTATTCTAAAATTGGAGACTTTAAGGACTAAAATTAGTAACAACATTTCACAGTTACAAAATCATATAATCAAAAGGGAAAGATTGAAATAGAGAGGATAAAACGACGGTTAGGTGACTCACCGGCGACATCTTGACCGTCATAGATACCGCGATGAACAGTACCAAATGTACCACGTGCAAGAACAGTCTTGATGATAAGCTTAGAAGGATCGATCTCCCACTCAAGTCTCTGCTTCTTCTTACCTACAAAACCGCCGTTGAGAGCGACGGGAGAGGAAGAGGCGGAGGCTCCGATGGCGGCGGATTCTTCTTCATCTCTCTTTCTGTTCTTCTCTAAAGTCAAAGCCCTGCTTAAATGTCTCTCTAGTTGCTCATCTAAGCTCTTTAGATCAATCTGATCTGCTCGAACAAACCCATCGTTTCCTTCCTTCATTTTTTGAGTTAAGACCCTTTCCTTATGCTTTTTCTCCTGAACGAAGTGTAAAAGAGATGTAACCGTACGAATCTTTTCTCTGTCTTGTTCTTGTTTCTTTCTTCTTCTACTAGTTTGTTGATTTTGTTTGTCCGATTGGGGTTGTGAAGCTCTTAACTAATCAAACGCAGAGGAAAATAAAAAATAAAACTAAAGGGGAAGAAGAGAAGACCGCATGTGAGTAAGCACATGGTCTTGCCTCGACGGAAAATGTATTTGTATTTGGTATATACATTTTGGGACCTTTACATTTCTGATATTTTTTTCAGATACTAAATACTTGTTTGTATTTCCAAAAACAATCTACTTTATCCATACACATACAGTCGTAAAAATTTAATACCATTTCATGACTTTTTATATTTAAAATATGAACTCTGATTTTTAAAAAATTTAGTATAGAGTAACTTGGGTAGAAACTAAAAATTGTCCAGTTTATTAAGAAAATACCAAAGCATAAATAAAATTTAGGTGAAAAAATAATTTGACTAAAATTATTCCCGATTTGCCCCTATATGTGCTGAAGTCATAGATTATTTTAAATGAGCATGCACGGATAATAACATTTAAACCCTGACACAAATGCCGAGAGTACTGGATACGCAACGCCGCCTGACACAAGATATCGCAATATCTTATTATTGCATGGTCGATAACTTGTTCAGATAACAATCGCATTGGTATGCTAACAATGAATATTTTAATGGTTAACTCCTCTATTTAATGCTTCACTGGTAATGAAGATGAAGCAGAAAAAACATACCCAGTAGTTCATTTATTACAGAAAAACCTGGTTGCGGCCGTAATAACTACCGGTGAAACGTTAACAAACTACTTCCTAAAATCAGGTAAGTGTATTCGATTTCTATGTTATTTGTTATACGAGTAATCATGTAACTACGATATCTTGAAAACAGAACTATCGATACTCTCTGTTATCCCAGTTATCTAATAATTCACCTTTCGGTTATATAGAATTTTGGCGAAATGACTCTTGAAGTTTCTGTTGTCCGCGGTGTCTGGAAGAAACGAAGCGATAGAAGTTGGGTTCACGAACCCGACCAAGTTGGGTTTTTTTCCTCTATTGGAATGAAGGAACGAGACACCTTCATCTCGATGGTTACTGCAATTAAATCGGGGTTGAAACTTCAACCGGAAGAAGAAGTCGACATAACCTACACATGGCCTCAATGGATTATGGGTCCTGAGTGGAGGAAGGCGGCTCCAATCCCTATTAAAAATGATGAAGACACAGCCTTGTTTTTGGCAATCAAGGCCGACCTGGAAGAGGTCTACCTGCGAGTTAGGGTTCACCGTCCGACGTCTGAGACAACTGCTAACTTTTTTAACCGATCTTTGGATTTAAACAGTAACTGTGTTAGTACTGGTAGCGCAGCAATGTCGATTGTCCCCTACGGCATGCAGTACTCGAGCACGCCCTCACCAACAGACACTCCAACAACGGTATTACCACGATTAAGAGGTACAAGCTTATATTTTAACAAGCATAACATTTACACCATTGCAGGTGTTTAACCGCTGTTAACTGTTAACAGATTTTCAAACAGTGGTAATGAACAACTTGGAAACTGTGGCCGCATCACCTGTTATTCCAACAGCTAGTAGTGTAAACGGTTCAGACTCTGCCAAGCTGAACACTTGTTCAAAAGGAAAAGGTAACTGTGGGTTTAGTTTATTTGATTACAACGATGCAATATATTTTGTATAATTACTCGGAAAAATTAACAGTTAAAACGTATAACACATTTGCAGGCATTATGATTGCTGCATCTCCGGAGAGGCAAACTCAAACGGATGAGTCTCCCCTTCCTCGCGATCTGACTGAACTCTGGCGCTTCTTCCATGGCCCACCAGGTCCTTTTGGGAGGGCTACTGAAAACGAGGCTGTTAACACTGTTACTAGCGCAGTTGACGTCATGGATATAGATGGCTCCGCGAAAATGTCAACAATCCCAACGGCCTGCCGTGAGGCGGGATTACAGCTTACTTTGGCTGGGGCGTACGTAGAGGAAGACCAAGAATACCCAGTTGTGCCTACACAAACTGCTGTGGCGAATGTGGAGTCGTCTTCCTCGGCAATATCAATCCCGTCATCATCAAGTAGTCATGACTTCTCCGAGGAAGAACTAGTCTCAACCGAGGAGATTGACATACGTATGTCGCTCATAGGTAACTGAAACTTGAATGATTTTACATTGATTAACATTAACCGAAACAGGAACCAATGGAAAAAATAAGGTGATCCTCTCATACTGCAGGTGAGGATTTGATCGCTCGTTTATACGACGATCCAGTCCCGGATCTGATACTGCAAACAGCAACTCCGCAAATGGATCCGATACAATCGTCTAACACGCTGGCCGACAAGGGCAAAGGAGTGATGACTGAGAGAGGAATGGCTACACGTGAAGTAGGAACTTCATCAACAGCTCCACATGAAATGTTTGCGGCTAACAGACAAGAGTTAACAGCAATGATGTTATCACGTAACAATACCGTGTTACATGATATACGTGATGTGATAGTCGCTAATCCGCATATGTTAAGTCAGACACCTTTTTCGCTGACCAGAAATCCGGTTGTTATGCTTCACACGCCGCCGGTTAACGTTGACCCCCGGGTTGAACCAGCGTTGCACGAGAGGGACGCACCTCCATACTTTGATGACCCTGTAGCCGGAGGTAAGCAAATTATTTGCTAATTACTGATATAAGTGATAAATGAATTATCAATTATATACTGTTAACTCTGTGTATTTGTCAGGTGATGAGTTAGCCAGAGGGATAGGTGATGTACAATACGAAGGCGATGAAATTTACGTCGGGCGCATCTTCAAGAATAAGGAGGAGTGCAAGTTGAAACTCGCCATTCATGCAATAAATCGAAGGTTCCACTTCAAGACAGTGAATTCATGCCCAGAGCACGTCATTGTGGTGTGTGTGGGTCCTAGGTGCCCTTGGCGGATATATGCGGTGCAGTTGAAAGACAGTGTTCGCTTTGAAGTAAGAACGGTCAACGCCAAACACACTTGCAGTGTGGACGCACGTGGGGACTTCCACCGAGTAGCATCTACGGAAGTAATAGGAAAGATGGTCCGTGAGCGATATGGTCTGAACGTCAAAGGTCCGCGAGCTTGTGATCTTCGCCACCTGTTACGTCAAGAATACAGTCTGCACGTCAGCTACTGGAAGGCATGGCGAGCAAGGGAACTTGTGATGGATAACGCATTAGGTGGTGCTGCGGCGAGCTTTGCTTTGGTCACACCATATTTTGAAAAACTACTCACCACCAATCCCAACTCGGTAGTAGATTTGATAACTGAGACTTCAGCAACGGGGGTGGTACGTTTCAAATATCTATTCTACTCGTTAGGTGCGTGTGTTCAAGGTTATCGCTACATGAGGAAAGTGGTTGTGATCGATGCTACCCACTTAAGCGGACGTTATGGTGGTTGTCTCATGGCCGCAAGTGCTCAGGATGGAAATTTCCAAGTATTTCCACTAGGGTTTGGCATTGTCAACAGTGAAAACGACGACTCCTGGGAATGGTTCCTGAGGAAGCTAAGCACCATTGTTCCAGATGAACATGATCTAGTCTTTGTTTCGGATCGCCATGCTTCAATTTACGCAAGTATTCGAAAGGTTAGTCGTTATTACTTTATGTTAACAAAACTATTTGTTACCGACTAACCTTGACAAACTGCTAATAATACTATTATCTTGATAATCGTTGAAGGTGTATCCGATGTCTTCACATGGAGCCTGCATTGTCTATTTACAAAGGAATGTCGTGACACAGTTTAAATCTGAGCACCTCAGTCACCTGACATCAGTAGCTGGCTGTGCTTACCGTTTCAGCGACTTTGACAAAGCCTTCCATGAGATAAGGTCCATCGATGTTAGGTGTGCTGAATATCTGGAGCGAGTTGGTTTTGAACACTGGACTAGGTCTCATTTTATAGGTGAACGATACAATGTGATGACTAGCAACATTTCAGAATCTTTAAACAAGGTGATGACAATGGTTAGATGTACCCGATAATTTCAATCTTGGAAACAATAAGAACAACCCTTGTTTCTTGGTTTGCTCTAAGAAGAGAGTCTGCAAACACTGAAAACGACATTGTGAACCCAAAGATACAAGAAATGCTGATTGAGAGTTTTCACAAGTCATCCGGCTACTTCGTCATGAAAATCGGTACCCCTGACCCTGCATTCCATTCACGGTGACGTATTTTTGTAACAAATATAATTTATCTTCTATCTTGGTTAACGTGCAGGTAATGGACTCTATGAGGTTTGCGACGATGTTGATACGGCTTTTGCAGTTAATTTGTGGGAACAAACCTGCGGTTGCAGGGAATTCCAACTACTACATATTCCTTGTTGCCATGCCATAGCTTCAGCAATAAAAGAATGCGTCTGTGTAGATAGTTTGGTTGACATTCATTATTCAACCGAGTATCGGAAGTTGGCGTACAGTGGGGTTATAATGCCGGTGCCTGATATGGACCATCTTGCTCCAAAGCCAGATGATGTAGGTGGTGGAAAGCTTACACCCCCGTCTGTTCGTCGACCACCAGGAAGGCCACAGAAGCTGCGGATTATGTCTCGTGGTGAATTTAAGGTAGACAAACTCATTAGTTGTTGCTTCTGTTAGTGGTTTATACCAAATAATTAACTGTTAATATCTGTTAATTATTTGGGTTCGAACTTTTCAAGCGTGTGTCAAGGAGAAAGTGCACAAGGTGCTGGGGGCGCGGTCACAACCGTTCCACCTGCAAAGCCCCATTACCGATAATCATATATTCCATATTATCCTAAGCCTTTATGATGATTATTAGTATAACAGCTAACATTTTTATACAGGGGGAATAAGCACGCTGAATCAGATTATTTTTTGGCGGAAGGATGGTGCATAATTCCCATTTTTTTCTGTTTCTCTTTGTAAGGGAAGTTTAGGATCTTCAAAAATATGTTGCCGTTCATTTTTCCCTTGTCTATAGTAACGGCTGCAATGACCAAGTAGTTAGTCGTCGACTTTTGACTTGTTTAAAGACGACTTTGTAAGACCGCGGCTATGTG